AATAAGTTTTATGAACGAGTTATACACTCTGCTTTTCACTTCGATTGCGAGGAAATTAAACAGCAATATTACAAAAAAACGATTATTTAATTAAAATTGTATGTAAAATTACAACAATTAGACATATTTAATGTGATGGGTTTTTTTTATTTTATACACTAGAGCATAAAATCCTATTATATGCAGCCTACATCCAGTATAAATACGAACTTCAAGAGCATGAGAAGTGAAACAAACTTTTTAATACAGTTGCTCAAAACGTGGTATTTTTCGCACTACAAATCGTGCGGAAAGTTGGATTTTTCGCACTAGTGCTTTTTACTTTTCCAGTTTTTTTTAAATTTACTATTGTTTTAAATCTTAAACATAGAACTAAAGAGATTGTATATTAATTTCATATTTATGTGCTTTGTGACGTAAGTCATTCGTCATTACTATACTATATCTATGGAGAGACCGCATTTTTACACCTATGAAGTAAATGCTCCTTAGTAGCGATTATGTAGAAAATAAAGTAATATAAAATAGTAATTTTGATGTGGCTGAATACTGGCAACAGTTGCCATATTGAAAAAAGTCGGCCAAAAAAAGTACTAATTTTTTTCATCGTTTACATTCCCGCCTTTTTCATTAACTTTTTTACGATTTGATTTTGTGAACAAAGGAATAAAATGAGGTTTTTTTTTTAATACTGTTTTATTTTACTTTCAATGTACGTTTTTCGCAAATGTATTAAAAAACGTTTTTTGATACACATGCGGATTTGTCATTTTCAGTTGTCTCGAGTCTTGACCCTCGCCTCTGGCTCGGGCCAAGATGCCTCGAGACTCGTGAATAATGACTAACTTTCCGCACTTGTATCAAAAATAACTATTAATAAAACCATTAACATTTCTTTTACTCAAAGCGTACATGGACTGAATGATCTTGGTCCATCGTGCGAATTGTGGGTGCGCTAAATACTTTTTTCTGAATTCTAGTTTTGAATTATTTTATTATTTATCAGGTTTTAAACTGTAGATACTTCGGAAAATAAAAATGGAAGTAAATTCGTTTGCTACTCCGCGAACCCAGTGAAGGTTAAATCGTGCAAAACAGCTGCGCTTCTGTTGAATATTTTTTCATGCAGTTAATTATAAATAAAAATTAATAAAATAAATAACACAAGCGCAACTACAGTCACAAAACATCACCAAAAATATACCCGACACGTGTTTCGCCTCTCCACGTGGCATGCTCAGGTGTTGTTTGCTCGACTCTCGGCCGAAGAATGAGCCCATTCATACCGGTTGGTATATTTATACCCATCGAGTATATAACCAGAAATAGAGACGAAATGTCATTTAATTTATTTGAAAACTATTCTGCCATATCATTACTGTGACAACTGCGCTGCGATTGGTCAGCCCGAATTCGAAATAATTGACGGGTGTCGTCAATGGGCGTCGTCAATTGTTTGTTGAAATTGGAACTGACTGGGTGCTTATGCCTAAACGAAGAAACATGTTCTTTATATCTAGTTATAATATATAAGTATTTTGCACGATTTAACCCATTTTTATTAACATGGACTTCCGCAAAGTAACGCCTGAATCTATTAATTACTTCGGAAAATACCGACTTGCCGACTCTATTTGTACTAATTCAAAAAAGTTAGCACCACATGAAAATTATCAAGTTCTGAATTAAGTGCCAACGCGTAAAGGTGTTTGAACTAATTGTTTGCACTTTACAGATGGCACGTGCGTTACCGAGACGGCTCACTCTTTTGTCCTATTGTATTCTAAAGATGAAGCGGTAAGGCGAATCGGTACAAATAAACATTTCGATATGCAAATAGTTGCCGAAATGCTAATCTGCCGTGCACTAACTAAAACGCGGCTATTCGAATATGCGATAAAAGCTCTATTTACAAAATTATTTTTAAAGACAGTTAAAATTAGTTTACGTGTTCGGCTTATCGGAAGTTACCTTAACGATGCATAGCTGACACATCATTAAACAAATTCAATATTCTAAAACTGGGTTATGGTTTTTAATAACATCTCAAAAAAATATTTTGTCACTTAGCAACATTTAAACAGCGGATGGCAGTAATAATTTTAATGCGAGCATGTCATGGATAAACCTACACATTCAATGAAGTTTGACAAACCCCAGGTCCTTGCAAAAGAAGTCCGTTATCTACCCAGGATGCTGCGAGAGGCCATTGAAATTAAAAAACATCCTCAGGGAAGATGGTTTCTCCGTACCACCAGTTTGGGATCCAGTGTTTCCTCTAATGAAAAATCCCAAACAGACATAAGACTGCAGTACTAATTAATATGTTTTAGTTTTATTCTAATTTCTATTAATAATTAATAATAAATTGAACTTAATAAAAATTCATTCAATAAAATAATTTGTAAAACTTAATATAGCGTAAATTGGAATGTTTTTTTTGTAAAATTAAAAATAAGGTATTTAATTAATAACTATTGTAACTATAGTGAAAAAATAAGGTGGTTTGCATCAATATTAGACATAACTGGTTGAAGACTGTACCACCTCAGTCAACCGTGACCATGGGACCTGTAAAGGGCCCGAAACGTCGGTTTGTTTGAAAAAACGAATATACGCGATTTAAATCCGGAAAAATAGTTTCATTTCCTATGTGTAACAATCGCGAAAACCTAAGAACTCGATAAGTAATAAATTAGTTATGACAAGGAGGGTAGAGTTGCAGTGCTATTCAGAATATATAAATCTCAACAATTTGACGATCACTACCACTGCGCCCGTTACCCTGAGATATAAGTTGACAAGTCCCATGTGCCTAAAATTTCACCAGCACCCTTCAAAACCGTAACGCAGTCATATGAGATTTACAGCTTGGCGGCAGATATACGTAAGGTGGTAGTACTTCACTGGACGAACTTATTGATTTAATACAATAAGTGTTGTGACTCCCTTATTTAACAGTCTTCCATCACATTTAAAACATAAGTATTAAAAAAATTATCAAAAATTAAATGAATAAAATATTCATTGTAATTGGGTAGCGAAATAATTATCATTAACTGGTAAGCTCATTAATGTTTATATGACTGCAACGCGTGGCAACCGCCCGATAAACTTTTACGATCTTGGACAACCTTATCGCTACTTGTACGTTATCATGAAAGGATAAATAAATAAAAAACGCGAACTAAGTTCAGTGTATTTGTCTCAGAGTAATGATAATCGCAAACGTCTGACAATATCAATGACTGATGACGAATGACAATCATCGGACGCAGATGCGATGGAAAGAAAAAGAAACAATGGAAGTAGGGACGATTCGATACAAGTAAATACTCGATACTTTTCTTTCGATACCGAGTACTTTTAGTGTCGATCCCCTCTTTCGACTTTTACTGGGTATCGGAAGAAAAATACTGGTATCGAACGAAACGCGCACGCGTAAATATTTAACCTAAATCCCACTTCCCAGGAAAAGATCATCTTTTTCCATTTTCACCATTTTAGCAAACAAACGCAAACCACGAAGTACCAGAGTCAAAAAAATGTATGACTATATGATACCATAGATATGGTATATACATCTCAGCGAATGAGCGAAGTTACAAACAGAAATGGCGGGTTCTTATGCAGTCTTGTTGGTTTTTGTATTACAGTTTTTATATAAATTAATGTTTAGTTTAGGCATTATTAAGACAAATTCGCAGTAATAATCGATTATCAAAAACTCGATCGATTAGCTAATCGATAATACTTTAAAAAAAATAAAAGAACGTTTATTTGTTTAATCTCCTAAAAAAGTATTGATATGAGTAAGTATCGATACTTTTGAAGTACTCATATGATTAATATCGCATGACGAATTGATTACTACTCATTTGAATAAGTATCGATACTTTGGTGGTATCGGAACATCCCTAAATGGAAGTGCACTAAGCCTCGGAACCGCTGTCGCTAAAACTCACACAATCATATGTTAAACAATATGAAATCTTGATAATAATTGTTGCAGTTTCTAATTTAAAAAGATGTAACATATTCTGGACTGCCGTGACGCCGACACTCGACTACGACGAACGACCACCATCTGTATGAATAGAAAGTAGTATCTTCTCGACAACAGATATCTTCTTTAACGCACGCGTTGCATAATTAATTGTATTTCTATCAATTAAGTTTACTTAGTTCTCCGAAAGAAACTCAACCATATTGCATTGGAATAATATTGACTTTCGTTTGTTACAGTACAAAAAATCAATTCGATAAAAATGTATTTAAATAAGACTTACCGATTATATCGACCCCTCACACGTAAAGTATCGTATGTCGAAATTGCCAAGTTTACAGTGGATCCAGTGGAGCCTTTTAAAGTTCTGAATTCACTGAAATAAGCACAATACATGACTTTAGCGTTTCTCAGTTATATTCGGCAAAGGTCGTTACTCACATAGAGTATTATAAAATTCTAGATATCGGTAAGATGATTTATTAGATGATCACTCTATGTGAGCAACGAGCTTTGCCGAATGAAACGGAAAACTTTATAACACTTCCCTGTAAACTTGGCAATTTCGACATACGATACTTTACGTAGGAGGAGTCGATATGAAATACCACAACGGATAATATTTTTGGTGCGATTATCCTTTTTGCACACCAAAACAGCACAATGAGACATTTTTCTAGGATTTTGGAGAATTTGCACGAAAGAATGACGCAACCATACCGTACAAAGCGAAAATGGCGAAATGACCTCAAGTAGGTCTTTCGACACCTAAAGTTGGCACGCGTCTGACGCTAACTAACCACTTCTGCTGTATTCATTATTCTATGGCGAAACTATACTTATTTTGTTCAAGTCTGTGTTTTCACAAGCACCTAAACGAAAAATGGCTTACACGAATTCACTTCATATTAAACAGGGCAAAACTGAAATCTTCTTAATGACTACTCAAAAGACAGAAGGGGTATATGTTAATGAATCTCCACTTATTTTATAGGATGCGGACGACCTGCCGTTCCGCCGCGGCGAACGATTAATGGTCATCAACCGCGACGAGGATCAGTGGTGGACGGCGCGGAACAACCAGGGCCGGAACGGCTCCATCCCTGTCAACTATATTGAAAGAGTATGTACGCGTAGAGTCAAGAACACAAAAAGCTTGATACTCTGGACTTTGGACAGTTCTTATCGCAAGATGCAAGTTGCATTTAAGTCTTAAGTGTTAAGATCGACGTGCTCTTAAACCTGTACAGTCAAAGGCATGTTATACTTGACACATTGTATCGTTCTTGTCGCAAGGGGCATAGAGTTGAATTTAAATCCTAAGTGCCAAATTTGACGTGCTCTTAACCCTGTACAGTCAAAGGATCAAGCTTGACACTTTGGGTCGTTCTTGTCGTAAGCGACATAGAATTGAATTCTATATTGTATCTAATCTAAAAAAAATCTAATAAGAGATTCTTCCATGACACCAGTTACCACCGTTACCAGGAGACTGGTTATATGAAAATTTCAAAAATAAAACTTAATTCTTGAAATTTTTATGTAACTTATTAACCGACTTTAAAAAAGGAGGAGGTTCTCAATTTGACTGTTTTTACGCATGTTACGTGATAATTTGTGAACGGATTTTGATGATTCTTTTTTTGTTGGAAAGAGGGTACCTCCATAGTGGTCCCATTTAAATTTGAAGAAAACTATTCCACCTGTAAGGATTGCAAACTAGATTACTGAATATTATAAAATACTGAAATTATTTCGTCTCAAAACTTATGAACAAACGTGGTATTGATCTCATAATTTCTTGGAATTTACTATCATGAATGTAATGATTTTTCGTGTGATAGCATCTGGACGCGACGGGCGCCCCTCTGCCAGTGACGGAGGTGTTGGCCGCCCTGGGCGACACGCCCGCGCCACAACATCCAATCAGGAACAACATGCAGGTAAGGGATCTAAACGGTACTGACCAAAAGTTCACTTTTATTTAAGAGGGAGCAGAGGAAAAATTCCTAATCTTCGATTTGATTTTAGAGGGGTATATCCATTTTAAAGTTAAAATAAAATATTGTATGAGTAAGTACACGATATATTCAAGCATAGTCATTAATCAGAAACATAAAACAATAAAGTTTCCTTGATAGATAAAAATCACGATATGACCTCTAATTTTCACATTTTTTCGATTTATCCTCGAAATGCTACAGGTTATTAGGACAAAAATTAGATAATTAATTATATTTATGCATGATTGACAACTGTCACTACGGATTTTTTAAAATCGCTTTTAGAGTTTTAGAGTTATTCCGCTAAAACGAATTTGGTACTTTTAATGCGCAAAATTCAACATCTCCTGTCGCATGTCACGCGAACTTCAGGCATACATTTGTTTCACAAATTTGGGCGGAGCCAACGTCAAAACTTTTTTGGCATGCTCCCTCTTAATTACTTTCCATTTTAATCGTAATTGCACCGTGAATTTATTACTTCAAGGTTGATTTTTCTCATTTCAAAAAGCGCTTCGAACGTGTAAATAAAATTTACCAGGGATGTCCTTGATTAGTTTGTTATTATCAAACACAGAAGCGCGTTGAATGCAGTTTAGTGGACCCTTGTACACATAATTTACCGATAGCTAAACTGTATATCACCATCGACCCATTTACGCCCCACTGTTGGGCACGGATCTCCTCCCAGGCGAGGGTTTAGATCATAGTCCGGACTCGAACCTACTACGGCCTCTGCTTGCAAGGTGGTAAGTCAAACCATTGGGCTACCATGGCTCTTACAAACTGTATACCTATACAATAATAATAATAAATGAGCTTCGCAATGCCTGCATTAAAATGGGTACCAGGTGTGGATGGTACCATATGCACTCGAATTGGTACCAAAGTCACTAAAAATGATAAAATAATGCACGGATGTGGTAATAAAAATAGGAATATTGTATGCTTGATTTTTTACTTTCAAAAACAGAATGAATATTATAGACGTTTGTACCAATTGTTCCAGCGGACTCTGCCAGCTTTAGCACGCGTGCGACAAACAAGAATACCGAACGCGTACGACCGCACCGCGCTGAAGCTCGAAGAGGGTGATATAATCAAGGTAAAACATAGATCTGATAGATCCGTGGATTTTCCGTCCTCATTTCAAGGAAAAAAGCTCCGCTAAATTTATGCGCGCAATTACGCTTTGTCGTAGCGTATTAAAACACTTGAAGCGCCGCCATATCTAGGACATTTAAATGCTGTTTTTATACTTATGACTATCGAGCCAAATACACGTGCGAACCACATTGCGATTTTTAAGTTAATACTCTTTATCTACTTGTTTGATAAGATCAATCTTTAATTGAAACTAACAACACTTTTAGACATAACTGTATTATAAAAATATTAACTTAATATTTATTTTAACAGGTGACAAGAATGAACATAAACGGGCAATGGGAAGGCGAACTAAACGGGCGGGTTGGCCACTTCCCGTTCACGTACGTCGAATTCCTCGACGACGCCAATGCCACCAGCTAAGTGGTACCAATAAGTACCGAAATTGGTACCGTAGCTACAACAAACCAGAATTGATACCACAAATACTGCAATTGGTACCAAATGTACCAGAAATACAGCAGTTGGTACCAAATGCACCACAAATATTGCAACAATGTTACCATATGTTTATTCAAACTCAACCCAGTGGCATTTATAATAGACCTGGTAACAAGGCTACCTTGAGTAGCCATATCTTCATGAAAACCGCAATTACAACCTGAGTGACTTCTAAAGTATAATATAGTGAACATAAGTGAAAATTAACAGTGCTATTACCAAAAAAGTGTAGTGTTGTGACGTGTTTGTTGAACCTGACCACAAAGTGGACTACAATTACCGTCTAGAAGAGACATTTATGTGCCACAGACGGGTAAGGGACAAGGATATCGAGCCGTAAGCACCCCTAACTAGCGCAATGTGGGTTACTTACTACCAAATATAATTCATTGACTTATTGGCTAAAAACAGTCAGTATATTGCACCAATTCTAAACTTATTTTATATTTATACCTGCCGTAAGTTGCAGCGTTAAACCTTCCACAAGCGCTGGAGCTCTCTTAACTATATTAAAACGTAGTTATATAAAAACCGCAAGGCCTAATTATAGGTCTCATAAGAGTCCCATAATAGAAGCTTTTATATTTAACAATTATGAACATTACAGTTATTGAAGAGAAGTTCAATATGACAGCCAGATTCTGGCATTGTGTTTAACATTATTGTGGGACCCTTAGCATCTACGCGCATCAAGGTTTTTCGAATTCAAAGTTTTGGCAAAAGCCGACGCTCGCTTGGTGTGTGGAGCTCCTTAGGGATAAGCTGCAAAGTCGATATAAGTAACATGCCTTTATATATTTCTGTTATAAACTGGTACTATACATATGTCATGTAATTATACCATTTTATAGACGCCTTAATCCTATAGTCGAATTTTTTATTAGAGGTAACAAACTGACTAGGTATAGTAGGCATCATAATTAGATGCCCAAAATGGAAACAAAGGGAGAATACCTTGGGAACGTACAGAGGGAGTCAGAGGACAATATTTCAAGACAACACTATTTTTATTTCACCAAAATCTAGCAACCCTTTAAATGTCAGTTTATTATCTCTAATTAAACATCGGACTGGATTACAGAGATTGCTTTCTCTGAAGGAAAATGTTCACTTACTATCTCTGGGTTTATAAAAAATAGAAAGGTGAACCTGAACGTGTGGTAACGAATTCGGCTTATCCTTTATCGAGCATAATGAAACTTATTGTGTAATAAAAAAAATTATCGCCCACCGATATGATGTTACATAATGATAAATATTGTTATCGACTTTATAACCGCTACGCTAAGTCTACGATTTACTCCAAGGACAGGAATTCGTCACAGACGTTTGAACATGTGCAAAATTGAACACAAAATACGAACAGATAAGACAGTTTTCTGGTTATAAACCTATGCAAGCATCCACATCAAATACCTGGTCACAAACAGAGAATTCCCTGTATTGCAATGTTACATAATTTATTCCCGCGCATTCGCAACGACCGTATTACCCGTGCAGCGAAGACCTTTACTCCGTGGCATATTCTTTCACCAGTATGCCATAGATATGACAAGAAATCTACCCAGACACTAGTGATGCAACAGAAGTGTCATAATGTATACAGGGGCCTTATCATGAACTCTTATTACAGTTCAGTATAGGTTCGTAACAACAAAAAAGCGGGATGGTGATATACACGTCATGTAGCGCTGTCTCACAACAATTCATTTTCTGTCCTAAATTGAATCGTATTTTAACCGAATCGTGAGATTGGATATCGTTCTCGAATCAATGGAAGAAAATCCAAAGAAATTTCCATATTACATTCTTGCTTTGTAAATGTCCTATACATTCGGTAACTGTCATTCGATACCTGTGTTCTGAATAACGTTTGTAGCATTTGCCGGTCAAGAAGCTCGAGTAATCGTACGGGTATGACGTCATGTCGGTTCGGTTTCGAATACGACAGTTTGACGTTTGATTCGGGTGTTGTGAAAAAAATCGTTATCGTAAGGTTCAGAATTAACCCCCTGTGTCCTGATTTTGATTAAAATCGGGATCGATCCTATAGGGTAGTCTCGAAATCAGATAGGTTTCTGAGCGAAAGATGAACCTGATTCCTACTATATCTTTCTAATTTGTGAGTTAAATCAAGTATTGTTCCGATTAGAAATGTCGAAAGTTTCCGACCGGCCAGTTGTGAATCGCAATTATGCGCCTCGACTCGGAAAAGACGCAGTTTCCGATCGGGAGAGGCAATCAAAATCAAGCTGCTGATGTCAAAAAAGATGCGGAAGTGTAAATGTGTAAAATGGTCTCAATGAAATAGTTTCAAACGGCTTGTCGTTGGTTTCATAATTACACACTTAACACAACAGAAAACTGATGCGCCTAATCCATCGCAAACGTTATAAAATTCCGATAAAAATAGCCGAAGCAATTTTTAAATTTAATTCTTTTTTCGAAGAATTTATAATCTTTTAGGCCATGGGAGAGGTGAGAGTCTAAAATATATATCCATAATAATAATATGACAATTGGGCTGTTGAGGACGTCCTAAGTTCGACCAATTTAGAAAACACTTATCTAAATAAAATTTTTGCCCATTTTGAGATCAGGTAATTGGTGTGGTTGTATCACACAAAATACTTTTAGAAAATTTCAGTTTTTCTCGTAGCCGCTAGAGGCGCTGAATGCATAGTTTGCAATACAAAATTGACGCAATCTATAAATGGTCGCTAGAGAATGTCGACACCGTAAACTCACGGTAGACGAAAGAGATTAAATTTAACTCATATATTTTACCACAATGTTTAACATCTGTGTTTGCATTTACTAACTAACTGTTTTCGTTCGTGTAATTTAAATTATGTCAAATTGTAATGCAATTATTTATCTATTTAATTCAATTTACTGTGAGCACAATTTGTTTATACAAAGACATATGTTTTAACACTAGAAGTGACTTGGAATACTCAATGATTTATATTGAAGGAAATTTTCCATGCACGTGGAGATTATTATATTTTCCTTGATTTTTATTAGGTAGTTTTGTATGGCGAACCCCATAAGTGAGTTAACGAAAAATATTTTTTAAATAAAAGATTAATATAATAAATTTTTGAAATAAAAATTTTTTTACTGGTTATTCGTCGTAATAAAAAAAACAAAAGCTTTACTTGAAAATTAGATTGGGGTCGTCAAATTAGGACCTTTACCTCGCTCTTTTTCTCTCTTATATTAATAAGCATAAATGTCGGTATAGTAAACGCCATTCTGTCCTCTATGAAGCTCTTTCTTTGATCTCCTTGTACAATGTTATTTTCCTATATAACCCAAAATCTCAAACAAGAGGTTTTATATCTAAACGGAATGGACATATTCAAAATAAACCTTTGTTGATTTTGAAGGTATGATGAAGCAAAAGACACTTCTAGTAAACAAGGACAACTTATTAACCAATAAGAGTCTTAAATATAATGATTTCCTTTTTGAAGGAATTGATATTTGTACATCGAACATTGCTTGACTGTTATATCTTTTTAATACATTTTTACATATGTATAATATTATAGTTAAAGTATAAACGAAATATCGTTGGCACTTCTTATATCTCTGTATCTTTGTTTTCTTTTATCTGTAGTTATTCATTGAATTAGTTATCAAACCCGAGATAAGAGGACACATTATCAACCAATAATATTTTTACTGTCACATCTCTCTGATGTGTGAAAATGATAAAGTCAGCCATAGATTATTAGATTACATAGGTTTTCAGGAGAATCTTTTCTACAAATTGTTTCTGATCGGGTTGTTCCGAGTTAGTTTGACACTAGGTGTGGTTGTTTGGGACATTATAATTATTACATTAATAAAATTTTATGTCAACCAGTCAACCGTGACCATGGGATCTGTAAAGGGCCGCGAAACGTCGGTTTGTTTGAAAAAACAAATATACGCGATTTAAATCCGGAAAAATAGTTTATTTCCTATGTGTAACAATCGCGAAAACCTAAGAATACGATAAAAATTTTATGTGTTGTTGAAATCTGTCTTTCCATTCTAATAATTCTTATACAGTTGAAATAAAACTGTATGACTAAATGTAGAAATTGATACTAATAATAATTAAATTTTTCCATCAATGCATTACGATGAAAAAGATCCCCTTGGAACATCCGCTTTAAAATAATTTGCTGCTATGGTTTCAAATGAAAATATGGAATAAGCGAATTCTTGAGTAAAGCAAGTTATAGTTTGATTCTCTTTTCATATAAAATGCTTTATCTTCATGATCGTTCTTTGAAACGATTGATTGCCATAAATGTAACACCAATCTAGAAGTGTCAACTTTATTGAACCACTGCATCGTCTAGTCCTATTATTCCCGCTGAAGTTATTCCTAGTTAGGCTTTTGTGGTATGTAAAACTCAATGTCTAATGGGAATTTTGGAAATTGGAATCCCAGATATGCAAAATATTCCCAATTTCCGGTTAATAATAATATTCAAAATATTCCCAGGTTCCGGGAATTTTGGGACAAGACTATTCCGTTATGGGGAAAATGTTCCCCAACATTACGTTAATAGGGATGGTGGGACAAAGAATCCCGGGCATAATGGAACTAGAGGTAATGAGTTGTTATTCACGTTGTTCTAATAAGCTAACGCCTGCATTAAATTTTTTTACATATATAATGTAAGTGAATAAATATGGCTTTTTTCATTTTACACGACTTGAGGTACAGATATCTGTTTCTAATCATCTGTTAATCATTTTAATAATTTCATTGATCGAAAATCGTAAAATAACTTTTAAATAGCCAAATTTGACTATTAATGCAATCAATAAAAATGTACGAATACAAGATACGTTCCAATAATGTTATCAAATTACAAACTCTTCTTAATAATTTCAATGATTATGATGACTAAACATGACATGTAGTTTTATCGTACGACAAATTGTAAAGCATGATTGAAAAGTTGCCGACATTACAAAACAACGTAAGAAGTATAATTAATAATAAAATTAATAAAAAAATATCATTATTCTCATTTTGAACACAATCGGTTAATAGTTGAACGCTCCCAGGATAATACATCTGTCTATTATTTCATATGATTTAGTATGTAGTTCCATCTCGCTCTTGTTAGATGTCAGCTAGCCAGCCAGAGACAATAATTAACATTTAAAAAGTAAAATTCATCATCCCGGCATGCCATTCCCGTTCAACTTTGTGTAGGTCATGATACGAATTTAAGCAATTCAGTTTTACCACGTCAAGTGAATTGCGTGGAACTTGGCTGGCTGCTTATAAGCTCATAGTAGGCCCCCTGCACTATTTCAGCTTTCTAATTTGATGAGTTGCCGGGTATGGATGGCCCATATTTCGTCTCTATTTCTCGTTATATACTCGATGGATCGAAGGTTGATACTAAAAAAAAAACATGGCGGCCACAAATCAATATGGCGGACTTTTTTCATAAAATATAAACATGGCCAATCAGCCGTGACCATGGGATCTGTAAAAAGCCTGTCTGTAAAGAGAGGAACGTTGGCTTATTTGAAAAAACAAATATACGCGCTTTAGGTATGAAAAAATTTATGTCCAGCAAACGCAAAACCGAAGAACTCGTTATAGTATCTGGTACCTCAAGGTGTGGTCAATACGAAATAATTCTTCCAAAATATGATAGTCAATATTTTTATATGCATTTGCTGGTGCAAAACAAAGTATTTAGTTTAGTATTACATACAATTACTAGGACGTTTGGTGGCCAAGTTACAGTTATTGTATAATTATTAAAAACATGGCCGCGTGAATAATTAAACATTCGCCATTTATAATTATTTTTCATAGGCCAACGCCATAACATACAACTAGAGATGGGCAAAGGGTTTGTCGTTATGTCGTTATTGTTGTTTGGGTCTTACCCAAACAACAATAACGACATAAATTTTTAGACGACAAAGAGGCAACTGTGGATTCCACTATTAGGGATGCACATTGATATTCGATTTTTATTCAGACCGATTTAAGTCCATACGATCTAACGATCTTTTAATCGATTTATTTCAATGCGATTTTCAAGCGAATCGATTCAATAGAAAGGCAAATCGAATCGTCTAGATCCTTAGTTCCCAAAGTGGTCCAGGTGGATCCCCAGGGGTTCACGGGAGACTCGACGGGGGTCGACATTGGCGTGACAAAAAAATGGGGGTTCACAATTCGTAAGCTGGGGTCCACGAAAATTTATCTGCTTTCGATAGTGAAGAACTAAAATGTTGGCTTGACTTCACCTATCAATGCAGGCAGATAATATTTTAAGAAGCTCAGCGATTGTTATAAGTAAAAACTTGCATATTCCATATTCAGTACAACGTGTCTACTTTTTTGACGTCCACTCACAGCACAGTCAATTAAATTCTCACTTTTTTTTCGAAAACTATTAATTTGTGGTTGGAACTCAGCAATTTGCGTTGCAAATTTCCATAGATCTAATCTTCACATTTTTTGTCGAGTTTTGGGAATATGGTAGAAATGTAACTAACTGCAGGGGGTCCACCGAAACCAGCAAAATTTTAAAAGTGGTCTATAAGAAAAAAAGTCTGGGAACCTCTGGTCTAGATCAAAAAGCTGTAAACATTTTGTAATAATATCATTAATTTTGAACAAACTTGATTTACTATAAATATTTAAAATTTTGATTGAATTGATGTTCAATTATTTTTTGAAATTACTCCACTAGTTTGTAATTATTAATGCAAAGATCTCACTCACAGACGGCACTCAGAAAAAATTCTTCTATTCGACCGGATACGGATTCGAAAAAAATTTCTCCTAGGTCATAGATGGCGCTACGGCTAAAAAGTCGTTGAAAAACCAAATGCAAAGATACGACGCAAGCACATAGAAAAAATCGTGAGGTCCGCTGGTTCGTTCCGTGGCTTAGTTGGTATAGCGTTTGGCACAGTAAGCATACTGTAAGAAGACATCGGTTCGAATCCGGCCGGATCGAAGGAATTTTTTGTTGAGTGTTCGATCTTTGTATTAATAATTATAAGTATTTAGTTGTAAATATTTTTTAACTCGATTAAAACTCGGCGTTAACAAAATACCGGGTTAAAACCCGGGCGCTTGCCATCTCTGGTTGTGTAGTATCACTCCATTGTCACAACAACTCTAGGCTTGCGTTTGCGCCAGTATTACCCCCTTAATTGTAGCTTTGCCTCCAACAAAATACAATTGAATTGATAAAAAATAATCCTCATGGACACTCGTGCATTGGGGACATGTACCAAATTGTTATTAATATTGTATATTGTCACTTATATTTTGAGATTACGTGTCATATAATTGTATATGTATTTTAAAACGAAATTTGTCTAATTTTTTTATAATAAGTTATACATATGTAACATTTTTTAGTAATAAATAAGAGGAGTTATGGTATTTTGTTTAATTTCTAATTGTATTGTACACAATACAACGTGTAACGTGTAAAACTCATTACGCTATTTGCTATTTCGTTACCAAAATCGCTTCCATTCGTTTCCGCGGCAATGTAAATTATGCCTAACCTAACCCCTAAGATTCAATTCAAATTGCGGCGGAACGGAATGTATGCGAATTTTTGTAATGATATTAATGTACATACCATGAACTTTATGGTCAATGCTGTAACGTACAAACTATATACGAGCTAAATAAAATCTTCTGCGGAGCGACTATTTCTAATATTTCTCGACTAGAACTGACTAATTCACGTTTTTTTTTGGGCGCAATCAGATCTAAGGCGATTATCACACTGCACCGTGACCCGCGACGGAGCACGGAGCTGCGTTTTTTAATGTTGCACTGAAGTACCTCATTTTGTATGGAAAACACGCGCCGTCGAACACACTGACAACGCTTCTCCGCGCGCGGTTTTCCGCGCCCCCGCGCGGAGGGGCGTGGCGGACCGCAGGGTATGGCACACTGCGCTCTGCACAAACAAAAACCAAATAGTATAACTGCAGCGTCCTGAATGAGTTCTGTATTATTAACCATTCTTGTCAAAAAAGGATCTCGGCTACACGTACAATCATTACGGCGATCAACCGCGAAGCGAGTACTTTAAGTACTTTAAACCGCTGCCTCAGTGCAGATTAAAACGCTCGTTGAAGCAGATTGCGTCTCCGCCACCGCGCGCGTGGTAGTGTGTTAATCGCCTAAGCTAGGGGCTGTGGTCCTTGAGGTTCTAAAATGATGCCGCCGGAATAAGCTTATTCCAGAGTGGACAGTTAAACACCTTAATAACTTCAAAACGTCGTAACGACTAAATCTAGTTTTTTACGACTAGAACCGACTAAATCACGACTTTTTAGTGTAATCAGATCTAAGCTAGGTGTTGTGGTTCTCGATATAGAGAAATGGTGCCGCTGGAATAAGCTTATTTCAGCGTGGACAGTAAAACACCCTTATAATGTTATTTGCTACTAGAACCGACTAAATAGCGCCTTTTTCAAATTTCAAAAACTCGACCATGGTCACGCTGGAATCGAGCCGGCAGTGTCCGAAATGCCTCGTCAGTGTCCGAAATGCCTCGTCAGTCTTCGGAATGTTTGGACAGACTTCCGAATGTGATGAAATGTCGATGATGTCGCAACGGTATGCTCCACCATGCCAATGGGTGCCGGGCCTAAGTAGTGAATGAGGAAGAGTGAGTGTTGGAGCAAAGTTCATACATACACTTACGCCCTCGGACTGCCATTGGGGTAGGCACACGCTACTTAGCGACAAATCAAGAACCTTTCTTACGAGCAAATGCGAAAAGCCGTGCCCAATTAATTCCCTAATGTATATATAGGTACATACGTTTTATAATGGTTTCAACTTGTAAGGTAAATGAAGGCGTATCTAATTCGTTGCTTTGAGGGGACATACTGCGTGTACGATTCGTCGCTTAGAGGACGTGCTGTACACGGGAAGCCATATACCCGAACAGTATCTTTTCTACATAAGATTCTTTACAATGACCTCCCTATCAACCTCTTGGTTGTACGGGAAGGGCACTTATAACCTACGCAAGCAAGCCCGCACAGGGACCTACTCAGTTGAGTCCTGACCCCAGATCAGGCCATTTGCACAAACTTCATCCGCTTCTCAAAACGCTAGTGCCTTGGGTAAGCTGCCCTGGGTGCACGCACAGTATACTCACTACCCTTGCACACTGCGCAACTAAAGGTTACCCCCGCAAAGTCCACTACCAAATCTCCTCTTTGGTGGCGGATAGGTACGCACGCTCACCTCCAGACGCCGAAACATCTCTCGGGTTGTCAGAAACCTACATGTCTGGAGGGACCACAGGATATCTAGCTCTCCGGGCTAGTGTCGGAGATGCCGGTCGCAATGTCCTATGACAATGTCCGGACATAGCTTCGGACTTACAAGGTAACTCACGTGCACCGGGCGTCTTCTCGCCTTAGGCCCTCGTCTAGATCGCTAAGACACGCTAGCTGCGCGCCCCGCCACTTGCTACAGGGGCAGACAAACGAGTTCATCCCTGCAGCTAACAATAAATCCGGGTCCACCAGAGACGCCTGTGAATAGGCGTATCACTGGCAGAGGACTTGGCCCGGACGACGCCCGCCGTACTCTGGTCTTACGAGGAGCCCGTAATCTCCCCAGAACTCCCTATCTCCCGGGTCTGTGGATAGGAAACATACTCGAAGACGGTAAACAAATATCTATTCACAACAAATAACACTTACGAATCTTACTAGTTCTTCTCAGGGGAATTTGCCTCACGAATGAGTAGTACGTACCTAATACTTTGCTTGTCAGAGCATGGATGCCCAATCTTTTACATACTGGCCGGAGTGACATTTATTCTTATTCAAATTTTCTTTGTTACCTCGTAGAACTCTCTTCATGTCAAGTTGTGTTTTTTTCACGCTGTACTTATATAATTTAATAAAAATCTTTATTAAAATCAGTTTTCTCATTTATTGATACAGCGGGAGGAGCTCTATCATTGCTGACCTATGAAATAATGATAATTTGAATTTATTTTGTAACGGTCTAAATTGGTTGGATGTAGACATACTCAATGCATACACACACACGCACCATTACAAGGTGTTCGTACAATTGATAGCACATCAACTTTGACACTATGGGCCGTTGTTGTTAAGACATACAGAATAGAATTCAATTTGTCAAGGTGGCTTAATACGAAACGAAAATCCAACATTATATAAACGGCACCGGTAAAATGCTTGCTTAGCACGTTTAAATCGAGGATTTAAATGTGCGAATAAATAATTACATACCATAGCGAATTTTCAAGAAGCAAATTCTGCTTCTACACACGTCTCAGTAAAATAAAATGTAATAATAATGTAATAAAATCTCAATTTCCATTCTATAATATACCTAATTGTTATTGGAATTTATTAATAACCTACGTAAAATATTATTTATTTTACATGGACGTATAATTAACTCTATACTTAACTAGCCCTGTACGATACCTACGGTGGGGTCGGGCTTGCCCTGCGGCGCTAGGTCGGGTTTAGTTTACGAGGCGTGCTCATGCTCTTCGGTGGCACAGCAGTTAGTACTAATGGGCGCTTGATGAGGAGGCCGATTTGGGCCAATTTAAGAAACGGACATTCCTAAGGTGGATTTGGTCTGAGTATTCTGGGTTGTCGTTCTTTTGGTATTCATAGTACAGGAAATTCGGAAGTAGTTCGGCATTTTTTCCCCTAAATACTTCTCTTTGGCATAGCTTTCAAGAAAATGGAATCTAACAGAGAGACGGTTGAGATACAACAACGCTATAATAAGTATTTCATTTTCACTACATCGGGAAGTATGCCTTACATTTTTACAATTGTGAGATCTTGTATTCGTAATCTATTACGCCGCATATTACCTCCATACGATGGTGTACGGACGCTTCGGGCTTCGTCCTCGGCACTTATGACTTTGTTTTAAAAAAATTGAAATAGCTCTTTAATGGCGGCTATATTTAAAAATTGCAAAAATATATTTTGACCACTAATTATTATCAATTCTAGTACTCTTTTCGGGCCAATTTTCAGTCAGAGCAAAGCAAGTTTTTTCAACAGGCATTTACATAAAAAAATACTGTTATATCGAAAAACGGCGGAAACAAATTTTTACCCCAAAATATGATTGAAGCCATGCCATTTTCAGTGGAATTAGAAGGAATTTTTATCGCCAAAAGTTTGTATGGCAGCCATAGTGAACAATATCGAAAAATAAATTTTGACCGCTAATTATTATTAAACACTCATAAAGACCCCGACATGTCCATTTTCAATCGAATTCGAGCAAATTTTTATCTGCCGCTAAAAGAGTTTGTATGGCAGCCAGACAAATTGAAAAAATGACGAAAAATAAATTTTCACAAATCATTTCCGGCACTTCTATTCGCCTCCACATGCCAATTTTCATCTGACTCAGAGCAAATCTCTTTCTGCGGCTAGTTTTAACGAAAAAAACGCTCATATAGCAGCCATACTAAAAAATGGCGAAAAAGACTTGTTCCCAAATTATGATTAAGAACTCATAAAGACCCCCACATGTCAATTTTCAGCCGGTTTGAAGCAAGTCTTTCTACAGCCGCCATTTTGAATTCGCCATCTTGAATTTTTTTAACCCAGGCAGTTGACCAATGGTACCCTCTATGCTATTCCTTCGAGCACCTCCTACTGATAGTTTCCGTTATAGAAGACCTTGAAATTTGTATGGCGGCCATCTTGTTTATTTGAATTTCGAAAGTTTTTTACTTCATCCGGAAATTATCCCGGGCATAAAAATGCACAAATATTTCCGCCATATATTATAGTTTTTGCAGGTCGTTGATCACTCTTTCATGTTTTCTACATTCAGGTCCTTTCATATTTGATTCTTTGTTTTGGAACGTATCCGCGTAGAAAGATTTATATATCTTTTTTCTGCCATATTGGGAAGTATGCGTTCTATTTCTATCAGTGAGTCTAAGCTTGTAGCCTTTTAAATACATAATAATAAAAATAATGAGAATAATTTGCAGTGATACTATAGTACTAAATTACACTGCATACCAACATCGAAGGAAACTCGAAAATGTTGACATTGACATTCAATTGTTTAGTCTATGGTACGGCGGTATAACGCGTGCTTTGTTTATTGCTGTATATTTTATCTAGAAATTTTTTAAATTCCAGAACTAAGACTAAAAAATGCAAGTATTTATGAAAACAATTATTTTTATTAAGTGTTGTTTTAATGAAGTGAAGTCTAAAGTTTGTAAATATGTATTTTTAGGGCGTCGGCGTCGACAGCAAAACCTCGTTCAGAGATGACTTTAGATGAAATAGCAAAGATTGAGGAGGAGGAATTCAGTACAGGGCCTCTTTCTGTCCTCACGCAGTCCGTAAAAAACAACACACAAGTTCTGATTAACTGCAGGAATAATAAAAAGCTGCTTGGCCGCGTAAAGGCGTTCGACCGGCATTGCAACATGGTTCTCGAAAATGTGAAGGAAATGTGGACTGAGGTGCCCAGGACTGGCAAAGGAAAGAAGGTATGTACTGTATTTTCACAATATTCAGGAATTTTCTTTAATAATTTCATCTTGGCAAGTTTTTAAAATCATATGTTTATTTCAATAAAAAAAATTATATAGTGCAATTTTTGCGAATTCCCTACAAAGAACTTTTTTTCTGAATATTGTTAGGAGAGTGCGTAGTTTTTTTTAGTTTTATAGAGCTAGGGGAGGTAGATAATGATTTTGGATGGGATAGAACGATGTTTACTAAACTGAGAAACGTTTAAGGACCTTAGTGCAATGAGGACGAAGTGATCAATGGCTCTCAGCACCCGCATCACACTAAATTTACTGCATAGGCTTAATACATTTTACTGGCAGTGACGTCTGTGCAGATTGTCCGCGTCACATTGATAGGAGCCTTAGGATTCCAAATTTAATTTAAACATATTCCAGTTGTTTAACACTCGTATTTTTCCAGGGCAAAGCAGTGAACAAAGATCGATTCATCTCAAAGATGTTTCTGCGTGGAGACTCTGTCATTCTAGTTTTAAGAAACCCCCTCGCCACTGCTGCTGGGAAGTGAATCTATATTTTAAGACTGAGTATACACTAAATATATGTAATGCGGCAGATTTTTCAGTGGCTCATAACACTTTTGTACTGTATCTTACTACAGACCTGCCCCTGTCTTGTTTGTATTGTATTATCTAGGTAACCTATCACAAAGTTGAGAATTTTTTTGTGTGAAATAACATTTGTTTGAATTTACATTACTGAAAACCGATTTCATGTTCTTTCAGGATATGTTAAATGTTTATCGCAAAGACATGATTACGTTCGGTTAGGTTAAGTTTAAAAGAAAAAACATTTTCCTCTCATAATTACTTTCGAGGCTATGAAATTTCGACTAAACGTCATTTCTGGAAAATGTCTTTTCAGACTACTGATAGGTAACCTGTATTCTACTATCAAGGCATTTAGTTGAATTTGTGCCTGTAGATTTTTGTTATCCCGTTATGTTGTCAATTCTGAATTGTCCATTCTGTGACAACTGCCCCATTTCAAAGCATCACAAGGTCACAGGTCTTCTCTGGACAAACTCTTTCACAAGGTACTCTACTGCTGCTTATTTCTAATTAAATAAATATATACCATTAGCCTTTCAGGTTTTTCACTCATTATGATTCAAAAGCAAATTTGCTATGTCAACCTTACCTGTACCAGTACCTACTCGACTGTGGTGTGCTGTGTGATATTGATGTTTATGAAATATTGGAATATCTCCAGCTATCCAATCACACCCAACTTAAAGTGTACCCCTGACAGGCATACGAAGCCCATACTGGAAAGGCACATGCCACAGCCAGAGGATATTAAACCTGTCAGAGCCAGGAAAGTCCTTCAGTTCTTCAATGCTGTTAGCCTTGGCTCTGCACAGCAACTAGTGGCGATCACAACAGATAGTCAATGGTCGCAGTGATGAGGTGATGCATAGGCCCTGAATGAAGCCACCTTATAATAATAACATAAAAGTGTCTTGTATATACGGGTTAATTTCGGCTGCCTCACTAACAACTTAAGTTGAATTTCTTTTACTTATCCAGCAGAATGCAGTGTTACTCCGTATAGCGGGTATCAGTCACCAGTTGCTGAACTATCCAAACCCTTTCCAACTGTGATGTTTCATCAACAACCCATTTAAAATTCAAAGTTGATCTTTTAGGTCATAAAGGCCAAGAATACTTTGGGTATGATAAATGTACAGTAGATGGACAGCTTGACATATTTGACTTGGCCTTCCAATTTTACTATTCTTTAGTACTGCAGTAAATTAAGCAATTTACTATTGCAAGTAGGTTGATGCACTGAAAATCTGTCACCGAATTGTTATTTTGTGTGTTCCTATCAATAAGTAATTATCAGAATAAATTGTAATTATAACAAGTATTAACCACTTAAGTGTACAAGCTGATTTGCTCGATTTTCTAATGATCAAGACGTGTGATCAACCAAAATGAGTAAATACGTAAAGTATCGTATGTCGAAATTGCCAAGTTTACAGGGGAGCGTTTTAAAGTTCTCCGTTTTGTTTGGCAAAACCTCATTACTGACATAGATTGATCATCTAGTAGATCATCTAACCGATATCTAGGATTTTACAATACTCTATGTGAGTAACAAGCTTTGCCGAATAAAACTGAGAAATGCTAAAGTCACGTGTTATGCTCATTGCCGTGAATTGAGAACTTTAAAACGCTTCCCTGTAAACTTGGCAATTTCGACATACGATACTTTACGTAGGAGGGGTCGAAATGTGTAAGCAATATAGCGATGGGCTAGTCGAGTCATTTAACTCCATTACTCCCACAACGAGTCAACTCGAGCTAGCTGGGTTCGGTACCTAGGGGTCTACTCTCGATCTTCGTCTGACATCCGTCCGAAACAATTACTGTCAAATAAGTAATATTCGACAAAATTAAAAGACAAGTGTCAAGTATGAAGCTTCATTCGCATCACGCGTCTTTTCATTTGGTCAATTATAGCTTATTTGGCAGTCATTGTTTCGGACGGATGTCGGACGGAGACCAAGAGTAGACCCCCTGTCCCGTCGAATACTTCATTCATACAGCGCATCGGCTACCCGTTCTCCCTCGATCCGTTCGGCGACCTTTGGAGCACGCTCGAGTTGCGGTCGGCCAGCCTATCGTGCCCGACTCGGTGAATTGTCGGTTCGAGTTCATAATATGTATATACGCCGCATCGCTCTCTGTTGGACATCGAGTCGAGTCAGCAATCACGTCAAACAGACGTTTGACAAAACCTGTCGATCGTCATCGAGGGTTAAATTAGTTCGATTTTAACCTTAATTATCGGTCGCTACCAGACGACAGTAAGGATCGAGCTAACAAGTTGACAGTTCTTATTGATCGTTAAAACGCAGCATATCGAGCGACAATTACGATCTTTCAAAATCGAGCCTTAAGCGTCTTGCCACTAAATCTGTGAGCTTATTGGCGAAACCTAAAATATGCGACTTGTTTAGATATTCTGGTGGCGTAATGTTAAGTACTGTTTAGATCAAGCTTTCAATTTGTATTTAACAATAAAATTAATAAACCCACTTGAGTATTTTAATTATATATTTTATTCATTTTACATAGATGTAAATTAATAAAGTTGAAAAGGAATAAAGTGGTCTTGAGCAGGGTTCGTTATCATTCTGACGTCGAGGGTAATGAGGCAGCAAATGAACTGGCAAAGGCTGGTGCCAGGGATACCTTTATTGGACCCAAACCCTTTACAGGGATATCATACAGCCTGGCAAAGCTCACTCTGCTGAACGAGATCACACATTCTCTCGAGATGTGCGGCTACAGAGCAAGGGTCTTGAGCAATGCCAAGCACTGTAGAAAAACTCTGTCATTGGACAGGAATAGCATCAGAATTCTCACTAGACTCTTAACAGGACTTTGTGGCTTGAAAAAAGCACATGTCAAATATTAAGCAGAGAGAACAGATAGTGTAGGTTCTTCCACAAAAATTTCATCCGCCATCTTCTCACCCAGTGCTACACTCTGATGGGCTTACGTAGTTCCATACTGGGAAGGCACATGCCACAACGGACATAAAATCTGTCGGAGCCAGGAAAGTCCTTCAGTTCTGCAATGCTGTCGGTCGAACTGTAATTAGTGGTGATCACAGTTTTTATTATATTTTTTATTTATTTATTTCAGGCCACATGACTCATACAATATATACCTTAAGAACTACATACATACAATATAATAAAACACTTACTAACTAATCTACACGAATTGCACTTGTCTGCGACATGTGTCAGGCCGCGGAATCGCCAATATATTACACCCTTCGGTCAAAACTCGTTCTTCATGAAGGTGGACAGATGTTCGGTCGGTACTCTCACCACACACGAATTAAAACTCACGTTGTGGCGGGACTCCAACCGCTCGACCCTCAGGGTGTATACGGCTTTATGTCTTATGTATGTACTCCTCAATGGATCAGTTGATGGTCGCAGTGATGAGGGGCTACATATGTCCCAAATGAAGGCAACCCTAATAATAATAACAGGTGTAAAATATTTAGCTCTAAGACCAACCTCGGAGCAGCACATATTTCTCTCCACATCTCAGAACATTAAAATGTATACCTTATTGCAACTGAAATAGGATTAAATATGCATTGATAAATATAATGTCCTCTGCCTTCCTGTCCGCCGTGAGATTTATTTATTTATTTAGTAAGGCTTGCCAACTAATACATACAGATGCGTTAAATATTTACAAAAACGGAACATTTCAAACTAGTATTATGCATGCACTTAAAGGTATGCACTGCATTACATAAAGGTAATATTTATTATTTTGGAAGCACGAGAGTGTGACTAGTTTGTATAAACATATATGATTAGATCAAATCGAGTTTACGTTCAACAATTTATGCACTTTCAAACAGCAAAAACAAATAAAACTGAGCAAAACTAAGCAAAAATTAAAAATTAAGCAAACCAAAAATATCTAGATAGCTCGCTAAAGACCGTTAACTTCACAAGTAAAATATTTTTCGATTACCTACATTCCTGAAGCCGATTTTTTACACCTACCTATTACACCGGCGTTTCTACCTACCCATCTACCATTATTACCCTTTTAGAGCTATTACTCACTGTCGACTTGTCGCTGGCGACTCGGTCGCTCGGCGACCAAGACATAGGCAATTAGACCCAAGAGACCAAGCCGAGCGACAGTATTCCAAGTACATTCGTGCAGAATGGACGTCGAAGAAGCTGCTATAGTAGCGCTACTAATCAAGAGAAAGAAAAATAAAAGAAAATCAAGAGAGTATTGGGTACATCCTTTGTTACAAGAACGAAGATCAAAAGGAATGCTTAAACTAGGTATTTTATGAAGACGTGAGAAAATACCCTCGTAAATTTTTCAACTACGCAAGAATGTCTGTGCGTTCGTTTGATGAGCTATTGTGTCTTCTGAAACCACATATAACTGGCACAGATACAAATATGCGACTATGTGTTTCTCCGGAAGAAAAATTATGTATAACTCTAAGGTAAGTGTAAACTTCATTGTTTTAAAACCAGAGCGTTTAAGTACCTAACAGTGCTTGCTCGAGTTGCAGTGGCACTACCGTGCCTATGTCAGTGTCACTGTCATTTCACTGTCATGAGTCAGCTAGTTAAAAATAAATTGTAAATTTTGCCGCTTTGGACATGTTCGTGAACAATGCCGTTCTAATCCGCGTTGCTCCAGATGCGCCCAGAATCATGATGGGTCCTCCTGCACCGTTCCAGATGATGCTGTGTCTTGTCTTCTCTGTTCTGCCTTCCATAAAGCTACAGATTCAAGGTGCCCTGAGCATGCCCGTCAAAAGTTAATTAAAAAAGTGATGGCTGAAGACAATATTGGTTACATAGAAGCTTCCAGACGATTCAGTTCTGTCCGGAAATCATATGCTGACATGACATCTCCTTCCCAGCACCCGCAGACTCCCCCCTCTCCCCACCCCTCTCAAACAGTTAGGTCTCCTCCCTGTACCCCTGCCCGCCCACAGTCCCAGATTCCTTCCACATCTTATCGCAAGACAACTTTTTCAGAAAGCCGCCACAGTCAAGAACAAACACAAGGATACGATAGATACTCACATAACCTCATAACATCTACACCAAAATCTTTGCAATCTAATGGGTGTTCTCTCCTTAGAGACCACTCAAATAATAATAACCCTTGTTCTACTAGTCCAAATGACAACCTGTCAGATATTATAACTAATTTAATTATAAATGTACTTTCCAAATTTAATGACATCTTACCGTACAATGGCCTTGAAATTATTCAAAGTATGATCTCAAAACTATTACAATCTCTTTTATCCAACAATGACATCAATTCTACAATGGAACGCCCGTAATATAAAAAATAAAAAACACGAACTTATTTTTCTGATAAATAAATATCACCCCGTAGTTTTTGGTATTTCCGAGACATGGTTAAAACCGGGAGCCCTATTCAGAGTTCCTGGCTATGCATGCCTTCGGGATGACAGAAGTGATGGGTGGGCTGGATGTGCCCTACTAGTGAAAAGGAACATCATATATACACAACTCTCCATCCCCACACACTCCACAGGCCTCCATGTTGTCGCTATTAGAGCACAAAACAAATCATTTGTCTCTGTCTACATTCCCCATCCTAGCCTAGACCTCATCATAGAACTATCCGTGATCCTCTCATCCCTCCCTCCCCCCCTAATTGTTTTAGGAGATTTCAATATACGCCACTCGCTGTGGGGATCTCACATCTGCGACTCTTTATCCTCTGCTTTTCTCGATCTTCTGGACAACACAAATTTATGTATAGTTAATGATGGCTCTCCTACACGCAGAACTTCCCCCCTTCAAAATAC